AATACGAAGTCTTGTAGTGAGTTAAAGGAATTGTTTTCTTGCCTAGTTTGATAAACAGTTGGATTGTGCGTGATTAAAGTTCGTATGTGTGTTGTGTATCTGTTTCCTTTCAATTTTTAGCAGCTCACTTCCTTCATACTTAATGGCTGTATTTCTGCATATTTGAGTTTGAAGTATTACTTTTGAAATTTTGGAAGCTATAGGCTGTCGCTTTCATACATTCCAGCATGCATAGCCGAAGTTTGTAGGATTTTGTTTGAAATATATCTCACTTCGTCTCCGATTTGCTTTTCTAAGTTGGGTTTGATTGATGTAAATCGTATGGATTATCATGGTTATTTTGTTTATGGGTGACATTAATATTATGATGTGATATTGAATTCTACCCTCCTAATTCCCTTCTTTTGTCTTGTTTTTATTGCATGGAAAATTCTCCTCGAGTCCTCATGAACTTTAATCCATCTCGTTGCACTTTCTCATTGAGCCGTAAAGGCTCAAACCTCCACTCTCGAGTCGTCCAGCCTCTCCAAAATTGGTAAATTGATGGACAAGTTGAAGAACAGGTGGAAATGCAGTGCTGGAAATAATCTGCAGATGTTGAAGAAGCTGTATACCAGTTGTATACATCTGATATACACTGGTATACATGTCGAAAATGCACAGGAAATCCGAACTCGAAATCTGGTTTGATAGCAGGGAAATTACGCTCCTGGGAAGGAGTTTTCAACTTCAGAAAGTTGAAAAACAGGCAGATATACAGTCTGTATACACTGATATACAGACACGATATAATATAAATATGTGTAAAAAATGTGATTGGCAGGGGAACGTAGAGGGACGCCTATTCTAATTAAAATTCGGAATTAGGCAAACAATGCGGACGTAGGGTGCAGCCCGTATACATTAGTATACATTATCGAGCGACGATATACACTTGTTAAGTAAGTTTTAAAAATTGTACAGGTACAAATACGCAAGGCAATACAGGGAAAAGTAACGGAAAATATATATTCAAATAGGTGCAGGGCTTGAGAGGTCCAAATGGGTCAAATATATGCTGTATACAGCATGTATACATTTGTGTATACTTTGTGATTCTTTTTCAGGATGGGGCCAGGGCCCTTCAGCCCCCCTTTTATTAACAGGCCCAAAGGCCATTTGTTTCTGCAGATTTTAAAGAAGGCCCAAGTATAAGGATTAGTTTATGACAAGTGGGCCAAAGCCCAAATGAAAGAATCTGGGCAATCAAGCCCAAGTTCAAATATTTCTTTCTCTATTATTTATTTGTTTGAATTATTTAATATCTTGGTAGAATTTTAATAATCTCCTAAAGGGTAGCCATTTTTCATTATTTTAAATTTTACTATTTTATTCACTTTTATCACCATTTAGTTTTCCTTAAATTAATTCCTCTAAACATTTCCCTTTAGAAAAAAAAAAAAGAGTAAAAAGAATGAAATACAAAATATCAAAATGAATTTTCTCTTTACTTAGTTAAAAATTTTATTTTAAAAGTCATTTAGTCAACTCGCCGGTCAACCGCAAGTTAGCGGGCATCCCGAGGGCCTAACACCTTCTCGAGATGTACATTGAACTTCGAACCCTTTTCAATTGATTTTTAATCTGTTTTTTAAATCTTTTGAAGTTTTCTTGATTTTATCGAAAATCAAGTGGCGACTCCGATTTTGAAGGTCGATTTTTCTTAAACAATAAGATTAATTGATTTTTCGAAACCTAGTCAATTTTTCCATTTTTAAACCAAAAAATAGTTAATAGTAATTTTTAAATAAAACAGTTGCTACGAGCAACAAGTGAACTGTTGTTTCTTCGCCTTGTTCATGGTGCTCAAATGATGCCATTGTGGTGCAGGAAGTTCCTCAACTGGTACATCAACTAAGGTAGTGGACTGGAGTGTAGTATTGTTAAGTTGATGGTCAACTGGTACATCAACTAAAGTTGTTGTTTGATGATGATCATTGGTTGCACCTGTAAGAGCAACATGTTCCTCACTGTTGTTGGCAGATTCAAAATCTACAGCTGGACTTTCAATATTACTATATGGATCATCGACCTCAACCTGTTTCTTAGTATTTGATTTTGCGCCTAAGAGGTCAATAATACTCTCATCATCAATGAGTACATGAGGTGTAGCAGCATTATAACTAGTAATATGTGGGCTAACAGTCTGTACTTTTCCTAAATCATAATTATCATGTGCCTAAAGTCTAGAGAAAGATTCAACAAAAGTAGCAAGGTGAGGTGAGACATCAATGTTAGTCTGAGAATATTTTTGAGACACATAGGGTAATGTGTTTTCATCAACCAAAACATGTCTAAATATGTAAACTCTCCTTGTAGAGGAATGATAGCATTTATATCCTTTGTGTAAGCTGTTGTACCCAATGAACTCACAAGGATAGGTCTTAGGACTAAACTTATTGTTACCCTTGATATATGAAAAACATCTATACCCGAACACTTTTAGACTGTTGTAATCATGTTGTTCCTCATACAACTTAACAGATGGAGTCACCATTTTTAGGACTAATAAAGGCAGTCTATTGATGAGAAATACTGAAGTGGGGAAAGCTTCAACCCATTAAAACAAAGGCAGATTAGCATGAAGTAGTAAAATTAAGTCAGTCTCCACAATATGCCTATGTTTTCTCTCTGCAACTCCATTTTGTTCAGGTGTGTTAGAACATGAAACATATCTCACACTGCCATGATCTTCCAAATGCTTAATGATGTCTGTTTGGATAAACTCACCACCTCTATCACACTGAAAAGTCTTAATCTCTTTAGAAAATTGTTTTTCTACCATTTTTTGAAATTTTAGAAACACCTCAAAGAATTCAAACTTCTTTTTCAGTGGATAAATCCATGTATATGTTGTGTGATCATCTAGGGGTGGGCATAAACACCGGAATTTTGGTTTTCGGTTAGGTATTCGGTTTATTTTTTTGTATTTTCGGTATTTCGGTTCGATTTTCGGTACGCATTACTTTGAAATTTGGTATTTTGATTTAAATCGAAATATTATATTTTAATTTATAAATTATATTATATTTAATAATTATTAGTATTAAATAATTTTTTAAAAAAATAAAAAACCCTAAATCCCTAATACCATATCCTCTTCACTCTTCAGCACAACTTCTTCAACTTCATCCTCTCTCTTCAACTTCATCTCTTCAACTTCATCCTCTCTCTTCAACTTCATCCTCTCCTCTTCACTCTTCAGCACAACTTCTGCCTTCTTTTCTCCTCTTCCTCTTTTACTCCAGCCGGCGTCCACCGCCACCAGTAGCAGCGTCGCCAGCCGCCGTCCTCGAGCAGCAGCCAGCAGGTCAGCAGCCGCCCGCGAGCCGCGACAGCAAGTAGCAGCAGCCAGCAGGTCAGCCGCAGCCAGCCGCCGGCGACAGCAGCAGCAGCCAGCCACCAGCCAACCCAGGTGCAGGTATGTAAATCGTAATTTCAGTTTTTTTGATTTTTTTTTGATATTTTCATCTGATTTTGTTTTTGTTACTAGTTAATAGTTATTGGGAATTTATTATGATTTTTTTATATATTGTCTATTTTTACTTTTTAGCCCATTAAGTTGAAAAATCAAACAAAAAATTGTAAAGTTTAAAATTTTAAAAAGCCCACTAAACAGGCCCATTAAAAACCCGAAATAAAAAACCAAACCGAATTAATAAAAACCGAACCGAACCGAAATATTTCGGTTCGGTATTCGGTACGTAATTTTAAAAAATCGAAAACCGAAAAAATCGAAAAAAACCCGAACCGAACCGAAATACCGAATGCCTACCCCTATGATCATCAACAAAAACGACATAATATTTCATATGTTGGAAAGATTTGAACATATGAAACATTAAGTGTAATATTTTAATATTCGAACCTATGAAACATTAATATATCATGTAAACTTTTTCGTTAGTCTCCTAATGTATATAATTTAATATATAACGAAATTATTTATCACACCTTATAAAGTGTATGAAATAGTGTTTTCATACCCTTTATGAAGTGAAACATTTTTTTACGCTTTAGAAAGTGGATGTTTTACCAAGAGAGCTGTACGATACATAATTTATGCCACGCAATAAATTATCACAACCAACAATTTCTAATTAATTATGATTGAAGAGACCGGTAATAAATTCCTATTGATAGGAATAGTATTGGATATCATCATAGTTCGTTCGTTCATTCATTCATTTATTTATAAACATTGTTTGATGCATTTTTTTATATGCATTATGATTACACACATAGCATTAATATTAATAATAATAATAGATCCACCAGACAATATCTGCGTTGAGGAAGAAGCTTCGAATGCCTCTCATACCTCTAGCAGGCTGTTGTCGTGCGGTTAGAAATGGTGCTATATAAGGTGGCATTGGTGTACCGCTACATTGACTTTGACAAAAATCTGGATCACAACAGCCCCGTTCGGTTCCACACCAACCATGCCTACTACAACACAGTTTAGGAGGACATTTTCTACCACCAGCTTGCCATCCGCATCGCCCCGATGGGTATGGCTCATCAATACCTTCCAAAGTTTCATTCTTTCGAACATCAAAGTCTGACCCCATCGTAAAAACCAACAATTCAAAAGCTAAAATGATAGTAATCCTCATCATCATTTTTATTTTCTACAAACATGAATGAAATGCTCTTCGACTATTTATAACAAAATTATTATTACTGAATGTAAACTTGATAACAGCGTCTTTTTTTTTTATTATTATTATTAGTAGTAGAAACAACAATATATCGTTACCCTTATCCATCTAATACATGTAAGTTGGACAAATAAAATAGAGTAACAACTTTTATTTAAACTTGTATAGAATACTTTAGGGTCCTCTAAAACTTTTCATTCAAATCTTCATGACATTTAATTCTTTGCTAAACTATTTATTTGATTTCCTTCAAAATTCCAATTACGTAAAAATGTCATTTATTTTTAAAAAAATATACAAATTCTTTGTTTATAAATATAGGAATTTTTCACAACTTCAATTGTATATTTCGCTTGCCAATATATAAACAAGATAATTTATTATGATTTTTTCATAAATAGTATATAAATAGCTAGAATAAACATATATAAAATTTAAAAGTTATACAATAATTTTTTTTTATACAAATTAGCCGAATTATACAAATCAGACAAATAACAAAATTAAGGAAAACTGTAATTGCGAATAAGAATTTTCCTAAACAATTAGCTACAACATTTAAATGTTTACCGCACAATTTCCCCAATTAAAAAGACGAGGAAGAGATATCAAGCATAAACATTTCATAATTATCCTTTTATTTCTCAGAACTTTAATTAGAAAATAAATAAATTAATAAGTAAAAAAAAACAGACCTACGTGCTCTCAAATTAAAAGAATAAAATAAAATTGGCGATTGGTTTCCAAACCCTCAAAGCTTCAAATTCAAAATAAATATTTCAAAGAAGTTAGAAATTTTCAATTTTTTTGGCTTAATATAATGTGTAATAATTTATATAAAAATTAAAATTTTTATAAATCTACATTTTGACCTTTTATATTTATTATTTTTGCTGCTTTCAAAAAAAATATTTTTAATATTCTATCATTAAATGTTTTAAAAGTATGACAAGTATAGAAATGCAATTGTTATGATTCTGATATACGAATGCAATTGTAATTTGTTTTTTCATAGAAATCAATTACGATTTTGCTTGTTTGACTGAGAATAAGAAAAACAATAATTTTTGTAACCAAATATTAAGAGAGGGGTCTTTAAATCTTTAGCAGATACCCGAAAATTTGTAGTCCTAGGGTTGAGTTTGATTTTAAAAAATGTTTTAATTTTTTAAAACTCTTCTTCACATTTTTTTATACAAAGAATAATCATCTTATGCATATCGTCAACATTTCCACAATATATTAAGAGAACATCACCCTCATAATTAAATAAGATAATATTACTAGTGTCGTAAATATGGGTTAGGTTCGTCGGGCTGGTCTGGCCTAACCATAATTGATAGGGTTGAGCTATGACATTTTGTGCCCATTTAATAAAATTACTTTTTAGCTCGACCTGAATAAGTTTGGCAATTTGTGGGGCTTGAGAAATATAGATAGGGCCGGCCCGTGAGTCAAATAAAAATAAAAATAAAATAAAGTATTAAAAAAGACAAGAGTCTACACTCAAAATCTGTTTAAATTTTGAACACAGTTTAAATACAAATTATGTTTATAAATATGTACTACTTGAAATAAAAAAATTCTAATATTTCTAGAAAATCACTACGTAGGTCATATAGCCTATGAAATATCATCATAGATTTTTCGATTTATTATGATTATTAGAAAATAATTAGATTGATATTTCTATTTGGCTATTTATATTTTTTACTTGAAATTAAACATAATAAATATTATATAGATAATTTTATTTGTGTATTTGATTAACAAGTAGTAAAATTAATATCATGTAATATTGTTTTTTCGATATTTCTGATTTTATTTCAAATTAAAATTTAATTTAAAAAATTATAGATAAAAAAAATATAATTTTAAGAAAAGAGGGTTGACCCGGTAAATACGGTAGCCCACACATGGTGGGCCGATCATTTTTTGTCTACACAAAAAATGAGTCAGCCGGCTTGACTCATCAAACTGCAAAGCCTATATTATTTAACCTGGATGGGGTGGCTAGCTCATATTGACAACTCTACGTTTTACTAAATATATCAACAATATTTTTTATTTATAATTGTCACAATTCAAAATTAAATTTTTAATAAATCCACATTTTGACCTTTTCGTGTTTATTATTTTTGCTGTTTTCAAAATTTTATTTTTAATATTCAATCATTGAACGTTTTAAAAATATTATAAGTATTAGATTGTAATGACAAATGATAATGATATAGGAGTGCAATTTTAACTTGTGTTCTCATAGAAATCAATTACAATTTTACTTCTTTGATTGAAATAAGAACAACAATAGTTTTTGTAACCAAATATTAAGAGAGGTATCTTTTATTTTTTAGCAAAACTCCCCAAAAATTCTAGTTCTAGAGTGAGTTTTATTTGAAAAAAAGTTTTATTTTTTTTATAAAACTCTTCTTCACATTTTTCTTAAAACAAAGGATAATCATCCGATGCATATCTTTAACATTTCCACAATATATTAAAAGAATATTACCCACATAAATAATAAAACCGCATTACTAAATACATTAGTAGTTTTTTCTATTTATTATTGTTTCAATTCAAAATTAAATTTTAATAAATCCACATTTTGACCTTTTGGTATTTATTATTTTTGCTGCTTTCAAAAAATTATTGTTAATATTCAATTATTGAACGTTTTAAAAATATGTCAAGTCACTTAAGTATTTGAATTGTAATGACAATGATATACAAGTGCAATTGCAACTTACTTTTTCATAGAAATCAATTATGATTTTGCTTGTTTGATTGAAATAAGA